CTCAATATCAGATACTCAGATATTGAGCTATCGTTCATATTTCTCGTAACAAGTTTAACATAAATAAAAATTTCAATGGTTAATGTTTTCGGTTCCAACTTAGTCAATAACTAAATAAATTAATCCTAATCACTATAATAAAATGTATTACTTGTATTCACAGCAGGAGTATGGTTATTTGATTCATCTAGTGATTGAGTATCTAGAATTGTTTCCCCTGAAGTGTAGTTTGCTTAAAAACACGTCCACCCGGTGCCATCAATTTGCAGAATTCTATCAAAACAGAAAATGTAAGTTTAGAATGTTAATAAGATATAAAATCCAATGGTTTAACAAAAATAGTTATGTAAAAGCACCAATCATTGACAACTAAAGGAAAATCTAAAAAGAACATAATCATTAGTTCAGAAAATCTTGCACACGCCATTTATTAATATATAAGAGTTTACTGTCTATCGAACTATTGAAGAATCTCTAGAAGATCAAATAACTAGTATAACATATCAAAGATATATTTATGCCGGAAATATGTCCAAATTTGAAGACACAATAACTTTTTCGAAAGCTTATATAAGAGAAGGTTTTAAGAAGTGGTTGTAGATCTAAAAAATGTCGAGCCTCGTGAAGAAATGCCTATTGTTTTTAGCAAAAAGATTAATTGTCCTACAAAATATTCATCTCAAATGATGTTGGTTCAGTTCATCTGAATTCAAAGTTCCATCAATCTATCCTAACTCAAGTTCAAGAAGCATAATTTGACAGGCTTGAGTACCATTTTTCACAATCCATCCTATCTTCCTTCAAAATCTGAGGGAGAACATCAATATATGAACAAATCAGAGGAAAAGTTGTTCCAAAAGAAGTCTTGAATAGTGTATACTTCACTAGTATGTTTCACACACAAACTGTAAATATGCACACCACACGAAACTGTAATCTACATAATAGGTTAGAGTGTTTGTTTTCCAAAAACTTATGATTAACTATATGAAACAAACATTGAGCAAGATCAATGGTTGTTTCACAATAATCAATGAATAATCATTCAATATATGATTGCCACATATAACTATCTGTCTAATTTTGTTCAAACGTAAAATAAGACTGATACATACCTGGTCTTGTTCAGGTTCAGAAACTTTGCTTCACATTGTAATTGAATCTTTTCTGTCTGTTTTCTCATATATATGGTGGTTATCCTGAAATTCTTTTGGAGCCAAAAAAACAAAAAAATAAGCGCTAAAAGACAGTTTTTTTTCCATTTCTCTACTTTCTATAACTTTATTTGGTGGGTGAACATGAAGAAGTGAAAGAAGTAGTGGAGCTTATTAACCCAGAAACTTAGGAAGTGGAGAAGTGCGTGGTCTAACTTTTTTTTTTTAGGATTTAACATTTATCTTTTCCTCCACTTGATATTTTAAAAATAAAATTACACACAAAAGGGCATAATTTCGATCAACACTTTAGAAAAAAATAAAATTGCACACACAAAAAGGCATAAATGTCCAGCAATTTTATTTATCAAAATAAATTTTGAAGGTAAATTATTTATGCTTAGAACTAAAAAGGAAATCAGGAAATGGCTTCACTTGAATGGGAAAAGTAAATAAAAAACTTAGAATAATAACATTAGTAACAAAGGGAAAAACTACTGCATCCATATCGAAGATCTCAAAAAAAAATATAAAATCAATGTCGATTAGACTAACAATTGTACCTCTTTTAGCTGAAACCCAAAACCCTAGGCCTTGTACTTCTGGTTGATAATCCTAAAAAACTTGAATCGCTAGAGAACCCACTTTGAAAATCAGGGATCTGACTAAGAGCAACACACTCGAGCATTTTTTTGTCTTCAGTCAGCTGCGATTCTGTTGCTAAACAAACAAACCATAGCAAGAGAGATAGTAAAGACATCGATGATGATTTTGAGCTAACATGCAAAGCTCCAAACCTTTGAAATCGAATCTGTAGTAGCTCTACATCAGAGATAACGAACTCTTCGAATGGATCAACTTGTGTACTTCGAAAATAAAGAATAGTTGAGATAGTAAAATTAGGGGAGAAGAATTGAGAAGAAGAGGTTGGGAAGAAAACAATTAGGGGAGAAGAAAGGAGATGAAGTGGCTGGGTAGAGAAGATGGGAGCTGAAGAGTTTTCCATTAAGTTTCCTAATTTCCTAATTAATTATAATCTAATGAAATATCACTTCTCTTTGAATTTTGGGCCTATATTGGACAATGTTTTTGTTTTGTTTTCTTGAGATTGGTACGACCAATATTACAGTTTTATATAAATTTATAATAAAAATTTAATTAGTTTTGGGGGAAAAAGATTATTATGATATTTTCAAATAAACATGATAGGAAAGAACAATAAAATATCACATGATTCAGTGATTTTTTAACATCATATCAAATATATATATTTGAATTAAATAATTGAATTAATGATATTTTTTTTCTATTTTATATAAAAATTATTCAAGAGAAAAGATTAAAATTATGAGTGTCAATATATTAACAATTTTCATAAACTATATGAAGCAATAAAGTCTGATGATCCATCTATAGATTAATTTAGAATATACTTAAAATTTGTTTTATAGGTGTTTAACAAATAAAAATAATGACCTACTTGATGAAAATTAGAATGAATTATCTCATTCTTTACAAAGTAATAAAGGATGAGAAAAAAGTTTTGACTTTATGTTCATTAAAATTAGGAGAACAGTTTAGTGTAGTAGACAAATAATTTTTTCTAAAGTAATTTTACCTGATGAATGAATATTTTACCTCAAATAAAGAGGATTTAAGAATATTAACAAAAGTTTAACTTCAAAACAAAAAAGGGACACATCCGATTGACCATTTAGGGAATTAGTTTGGGTTGGGCCATTTTTAGTATAATTAATTTAGTTTTAAGGTCTATTTGTGTATTTTTTTCAAAATTTAAATTAATTTTATTGTGGATCATTCTCACGAATACCCTTATTTGGGGTGATTTAATTCTTGTTTCTCAATATTTTATTTAAGTGAAAAGAGTCGTTGGTAAAACTTTTCCTAATATTAAATTATAGGAAGTTCTATGGATAATTTTTATTTATTTATTTTTGGTAAAGTCTATGGATAGTTTATCTTAATGGATAATAGAAATTTTAACATTTATTTATTTTTATTGGTAAAATGAATATATAGTTATAATATAATATGTATTGTTTTATTATTTGTATTAATTTAATGAAAAGATTGCATATAGTTTCAAATTATGCAATTTTCCGTATTATAATTATGCATTTTTTATTGTCAATTTTTTCCTAGATTTTAATTAACTTCAATTAATTTATCTTTCTGATCACCAATAAGTTATATGATCAAAA